TTGGTATCATCTTACAGCTTGTTCACTTGTCTTTATTTGGTTGAAATAGATATCCATTTATCTTGAAAACAAGTCGAGATATTTGTGAATTAAGGAGGTAGGGGTAAATTTGGTGAGAAAATGGCCGCCAAAGATTAATTATTTCCTTAGCTTAAGAGTCCTTGGTAACGGAAAATTTACATTTACGAGGCAGCGTGGTGGAATCAGGCTCTCGTCAATTTTTGGGCATGTAGAGTTATTGGTATCATTTTAAAGCTTGTTCACTTGTCTTTATTTGGATGAAAGAAATATCCATACATCATGAATACAAGTCAAGATATTTGCGAATGAAGGAGGAGGGGGTCACCTTTTTTCAGGGGTAAAATTATTGAGATAATGGCCGCCAAAGATTAGTTATTTCCTTAGCTTAAGAGTCTGTGGCAACTGAAAATTCACATAATTTATTGTACCTTTAATCAACGTTTTTCTGAAAAAAATCCACACAGAAATGAGTTCTTTAATGGGCATTTTTTTCTCCACTTCTTTTTATGTTTGTCTTTCTCTTGTGAACTGTTATTTCCGGGTTGCATTGATAGTCGAAGCAGACTTAGTGCCGTTGAAGCTAGAGAGGTGAACAAAGTAAGCCTGATTCCCTGTAAGGACTTCTCTGTTGACATTCCCCCCCCCTCCCCCTTGGCGTTCATATGACCTCAGTACGTTTCGAGCGCCGTAAAACCTTATTAAAACAAAACAAATTCTAACTGTATTCCGTTTGGGGAGCAGGTCGTTCGCCAAGCCTCCCCCAGCCGTCCAGACCGTGTGTCTGTGCATTGTCATCCTGCGGGGCATCAAGGACGTCTCCTGGAAGGGCGCCAAAGGCATGATGTCCGACCCAGGCTTCCTGCGCTCTCTCAAGGAACTGGACGTGGACAACATCACGGCCAAGCAGACCTCTAATGTCAAGTGTAAGGCTTACTTCCTTCTTTCCTTCTTTTTTTCTTTCTTTCTGTCTTTAATTCTTTCTTTCTTTCTTTCTTTATAGTAAATATAGATCTGTTATTTTTCTCTGGCTTTTTCTCTAATCTGCCTCTTTGTCTTGCTTCTCTATTACATACATTATTCTCTCTCTCTCTCTCTCTCTCTCTCTCTCTCTCTCTCTCTCTCTCTCTCTCTCTCTCTCTATCTTTCTCTCTCTCTCTCTTCTCTCTTTCTCTCTCTATCTCTTTCTCTCTCTGACCCGGCTTCCTGCGCTCTCTGAAGGAACCGGACGTAGACGACATCACGGCCAAGCAGACCTCTAATGTCAAGTGTAAGGCTTACTTCCTTCTTTCCTTCTTTCTTTCTTAAGGGGGGCGGGGGCTGGTTTTAAATTGACGCTGACATCCCCCCCCCGTGTGTATCCTTCCAGCCACGTTAAACAGCACCAGTGTGAGCCTCCAACAGATGTCCACCATCAGCAAGGCGGGGGCCGGGCTGCTCAAGTTCGTGGTCGCTGTCATGGGCTACTGTGCTGTGTTCAGGGAGGTCAAGCCCAAGAGGGACAAGGTGTGTGTGTGTGTGTGTGA